TGCCCTAAAACATTTTCTCGAGAAGTTCGGCTGACAAATCATCTTCGCACGCACTCTGTAGAGAGGCCTTTCGAGTGCACCATGTGTCCCAAGAAATTTGTTTCATCTTGCAAACTGAAGAGGCATGTCTTCACCCACACGGGGGAAAAACCTTTCAGGTGTACAGAGTGTCCGAAGAAGTATTCTACATCTTCGATGCTGATGCGTCATCTCAAAATGCACAACAAGGAAATGCCTTTTCGGTGCACCTTCTGCACCAAGGCCTTCTCGCGGGAAGTAAGTCTTCAACATCATCTTCGCACTCACACGGGAGAGAAATATTTCGAGTGCCCTACGTGCCCTAAGAAGTTTTCTACGTCTTCTGAAATAAAGGTTCATATGTGGACGCACATTGGTTACAAACCTTTCGAGTGCACCGAGTGCCCAAAGAGTTTTTCTACATCCTCACACCTCAAGAGCCACCTGTACACGCACACGGGGGACCTACCCTTCAAGTGTACCGAGTGTCCGAAAAAGTTTTCTTCATCTTCGGGGCTAAAAACGCATCTCAGCACTCACTCGGGCAAGAATTCTTTCCACTGCACCGTGTGCCCTAAGAACTTCTCCACATTTTCAAGGCTAAAGACGCACTTTTACACGCACACTGGAGTTAGGCCTTATGACTGTACCTTGTGCCCAAAGGCGTTTTTTCGAGCAGAAATCCTCAAATTGCACCTTCGTAGCCACACTGGGGAGAAGCCTTTTTCGTGCTCTTTGTGCCAAAAGAAGTTTGCCGTTGAAAGCAGTCTAAAACAGCATCTGCTTCGTATTCACACTGAGGAGAAGCCGTTTGAGTGCACTTTGTGCCATAAAAAATTCACATTTGAAAATAAACTCCAGCAACATCTTCGCACTCACACTGGGGAGAAACCTTTTGAGTGTTCTTTGTGCTTGAAAATGTTTTCTAGCTCATCTCATTTGAAGAGACATTTTAGCATGCATACCGGAGAAATGCCTTTTGAGTGTAGGTTATGTTCTAAGGCGTTCCCGCACTTTTCGTCTCTAGAGCAGCATCTCTGGACTCACACTGAAAAATCTTTTGCCTGCACTTTATGCCCCAAGAAGTTTTCTCGAGTGGATCGGCTGAGGAAGCATCGTGTCTGCTCTCACGCTTGAGACATTTTGAAGAAATGGAAGTGATACTTAAGTATCTCTCTTTGTTAGAGTTCGTTTCAGCAACATTTTCTGCTGCGTTGTTATCTGTATTAATGATTGGTGTTGTTAGATGCAAACTGTTTTTATTGAAGCTCGTTTCGCCAGCATTTCCTGTATCATTTTTCTTATGTTTTGTTTTGATATTAGTTAATTGATTGTCGTTGAAGCATGCAAATTGATTTTGTAATTTTAAACTCATTATTGTTACCTGTAGAAAGACCTCTGTTGCTATATTCTGTTCAGACGGGTCGTGATTTATGTTTTGTCTTTATAAAATTTATAATTCTGATTTGTTGCTTTGTTGTACTTTTCCTTGACTCTAACTGATGGTCCACAAGTGCAGTGTCGGGTGCGCTGGGTCAGGGGTGGGGTATAAGGAAGGGGGAGGGGGGGGTACTTGTGGCGCAGCTCGCGGCAGATTGATGCAGATCTGGAATGGCGTGGTGGCACTGTGTTGGCCAACAAGGTGCAAATTGCCCGAGTCCAACGCGGCGCGTGCTAAAGAGACACGTAGGGCGTGGCATTGCGAGAGCACGTAATGCGCTAGACTGACTGCCGATTGTCTCCCCAATTGCAGCGAGCTGGACGCTTCGGCTGCCATTGGGATGATTCAGGCCCTGCCCACTTTGCTGA